CAATTTCCATGTTCCATTGTCCATGAGTGATTTGTACTCTTCCTCCATAGCATTCTCCTACTTCATAGCATCCATGGACTTTATTGCATCACATGAACTCAACGGATCAGCAAGAAGTGCAACATTGACATGTTCTTTACTTACTTTAAAAAAAATATGGTCCTTCTACCATTCACCATGTTTTTTTCTATCTCTCAAAGGATATCTCCTTTCATTAGAAGAAGACTCAATTTGTTGCACTCCATGGTCACCTCCAACCTTTTTTTCTTTTGAAGATAGACTTTTCTCACTCAAAGGTTCATAATCCTCATCACCATCAACATCTTCATGCTCTTCATTGCTGGTCTTAGCAATTGTAGAGGCCTTCTTGTCCACCTTCTTTGCCTCTTCATCTTCATTTCTACCTTTACAACCATCATTGTCTTTGTCTTCTTTTTTCTTTGCTAAATTTGAAGATGTATCCACAAACATACCATTACTCATACTTGGACACATCTCCAAGTGCTCACAAGCACTCTTGTGCTCTAAAAACTCAACATCACGACTTTTGATGATCTTTTTAGTCTCCAAACACATGAGCCTATAAGCCTTTGTACCTTCACAATATCCAAAAAATACACATTTTGTACCTTTTGTATCAAATTTTGATCTCATACAATCTGGTATCTTTGCATATGCTATGCATCCAAAGGTCTTTATGTGAGAAATACAAGGTTTTCTCCCACTCCAAGCTTCTTCCGGCATCATTGATATAAGTGCACTTGTAGGACACATATTTCTTCTATAAACTGTATTCACTAATGCTTTCACCCAAAACTCATGTCCAAAGTGTTGTGCATGAAGCATATTCCTTGCTATCTCCACAATAGTCCGATTTACTCTTTCAGCAACTCCATTTTGTTGTAGAATGTAAAGAGTAGAGGTTTGTCTTGCAATACCATGCAACTTTAAGAAATCATTGAATTGATTTGACATATACTCACCTCCATTGTCTGTATGCAGTACCTTGATTTTACATTCACATTGCTTCTCTACAAGTGTCTTAAACTCCTTAAACCTTGTGAAACACTCACTCTTTGCTTTGAGGATGAAAATCCATACTTTTCTTGAAAAGTCATCAATGAATGTGACAAAATACCTTGCATCTCCTATTGATGCCATCCTCATAGGTCCACAAATATCAAAATGGACAATCTCCAATAACTTGATTGCACATGTTGCAACTCCACTTGGAAATGAGGTCCTTTGTTGTTTGCCTTGAATACAACCTTCATAAGCAAGTGTCATAGCATTGTGGCTTATATGACTAAGATCTAAGCCACTTACCATGGATTAGAACTCCTTCATGCTCTTGGCATTCAAATGACCAAGGCGTCGATGCCAAATGTCAAACTTATCTTGATCTTGAGGAAATTCAGCAAATGCCGCCACTTCAACTCCATTCACCTTCTTACACTTGATGAAGTAGAGGTTGCCATTTCTAAAGCCCTTTGCAACATGATCTCCTTTCAATGTCTTCATAAAATATCCATTCTTATCAAATTATACTTTACAACCATGTGAAACAAGTTTACTCATCAAGAGGAGATTTTTCTTCATCTTTGGCATATGTAAGACGTGCTTCAATCTGATCCTCTTGGTATGGCCTTTCACAACAATCTCTATAACAATGGAGCCCATTCCAATAGCTTGTACAATGCCATTGTCTCCCATGAGGATATTTTCTATTGAAATCTCTTTAGAAGTGTCAAATGAACACTTGTATAAAGTCATGTGCTTGGTGGTACCAAAATCAATGATCCACTTGGACATGGCAGCTATGGAAGTACCTTCACTTGCCATGAATGCATAATCATCACCTCCATATTCATCACGAGCATTGTTTGTACTTTCTCTATCTCCTTTCTTAGCCTTGTAGCAATTTTGAGCAAAGTGACCTAGTTTTCCACAAATGAAGTAAGTTCTCACATTGCCACGTTGGTTGGAATGACTCCCCTTGCCTTGCCTTGAAAAGAGAGCCGAATCCTCACTTTGGGGCTCTTTTTCTTTTCTCTTGGTCACTTCATGGACAAGTCTTGCTGTCACATAATCCATTGTGAGTTCTTTTACTTTGATGGATTCCAATACTATAATGAAGTAGTTGTAGAACTTGGGAAGGCTCATAAGCAAGGTCATGACAATATCACTCTCTTTTAAAGGCTTATCAACAATAGCAAGTTGTTTAGCAAAGGCTTTTACCTTGTTGACATGAGCCATGAGATCTTCACCTTCTTCCATCTTGCAAATGAAGAATTTCTTTCTTGTGAAGATGATAGTGGACAAGTTCTTGCTCTCATATATGTTGCAAAGAGTCTTCCATGCTTCTGCTGGTCCTTCGTAAGAGATGATGTGAGAAAAGTTGGCTTCATCCAAATTAGTAGCAATCATGCTAAAAGCCTTCTTTTCTTGTCTTGTGAAGTCCTTCTTTTCTTTAGCATCAGCATGCGTGCTTGGAGGCTCTTCACTTTCATCTATAATGTCCCAAAGGTCCAAAGAAGCCAACAAAAGCTCCATTTTGACCTTCCAATGGTAGAAATTGTCACCTCTAAACTTCTCAATCACTCTCAAACCTTCACCCTCACTTGAAGCCATATCTTAGAAGAGGTCTATCAAAAAATATCAAAAAAAAGAGTCTTTATGTGCTTAAAAACACTAAAATAATTTTGTACTAGCAAAATCTCAGAATGCCCTCTTGTAAACAAATGAATGTTTCTTCACTCCAAACACTCCCAAATCAACTTTTGAAGCTTCTAACAAGTATGTTAACTCCAATCAACCTCACCATCTAGTTCTTCCACTCATAAAACTCACTTTCTCACTACAAATCAAAGACAGTATCAAGGTCTTTGTATAAGGTCTTAATCACTCAATCCTAGTAGTTAAGAACCTTCAAACTGATGTAAGAGATCTATAAGGCCCAAATCAAAACCTCCACAAGTCAAAACACCAGATTATATCATAGAATCTCTAACATCAGCAAACACCATAAGATCTATTCCACACAAGAACAACAACCAGAAAATGACTTCAACTTACTTGAATAGCACAACAAAGTGTGTGTTGGTCCATAACCTATTGAAGAAATACAATAAGCAAGATACAAGTAAGTAGAAATCAACAAGATTAGACACAAGAAAAGTGTGGAATTAGATGTCCCTCACTTCCAACATCCTTTACTTATAGGTAGAGGTTACATCCATTTTGGCTAGTATTCAACTTACTTTCATCCAACTAAATCCTAGATTTATCTTAACCTAGCTGCCACTTTAAACCCTAGTTGCCAACTATAATCCTAGCCGCCACTTAAAACCCTAGCCGCCACCTTGGTAACTTTCTTTCATCCTTTTACTACCCTTTGACCATTAACAACTTATCTAAGATAATATCTTTTACCTTCTAACTTATCCTCCATTTACTTTAACAATTATTAATGAATATCTTTGTGGGATTTCCAAGAGACATAAGAATGCTATTATATAGCCCTAGTTTACCAAGAAGAGTAGAAAAATATCCTTGGAATATGGTATATATCATATTTAGTAGGTATTTAGAATATTTAATAAATAATCTATATATATATATATACATATTTTTTATAATTTTAATCTTAATAAAACACCTTTGTTTTGTATTGATTTCTCTATGTGTATACAATTATGTGTGTTGTGTGTGTTTTTTTTTCTTTTTTATTCTTTTCTTTTTCAATATATTTTTCTAAAATAAAGATGTATATGACATATAATGTAGTTATTTTATTGTAAACAAGAAAAATATGTAGATTTTTATATGATTATTTCCGAAAAAAGAATGAACCATAATTTTTCAGTATTATGATATTGAGCAATTTAAGTAAAAATTTCAGCTACAACTACATAGGTTTTGAAATGTAAAAATTGACAAGAATGGACTTGTGAAATTGTCAGCAGTGCAATTGGATGATTTTGATAGTGGACAAGACATAAAAGGGGTGTTGGAAAGAAATGAGTAATTATACCACATAACAAACCGATTCTGTAGAAGGAAACAAATGTAAAGCATGGGGGTGGCCATGCTAAATAGACAAATAAAGAGGTGAATAAAGGAAGTGGGAATGATCAAGGATGGGGGGAGGGCAGCTCAAGAAGGACCACAGGGTGCCGTTGCCTCCACCCTTGGGCCCAACCACGCAAACAAATAAAAATCCACCAAGAAATAAAAAATGGAACCCAACACCAATCAAATATACATATATATATATATATATATAGATATGCATCACAAGGAACACTGGGAGGGGAGCGTCCACAGCACCACCTCCACCATCAAGTAGCCCAGCCACCAGATGGATGGATGGATGGATGGATGGATAATGGTTTCTCCTCCTCCAACTCCCAGGCGAGGCCGAGGCCTCCTCCCTCTCTCTCTTCCTCCTTCCTTACGCATATCAATCCCGCCAGCCAGCATTGCCAATGGATCATGATCCCACAATTTCATGGACCCTACACCTGACCGCATCATACCATCCCATTGCATCGCATCGCATCGCATTCATTTCCCACATCCACACCCCAGTGATCAATCGCTCCATGAGGAAGTAGTACTCAGTCGATGAATGGATGAATAGATGTGGGTGGATGGGGAAGCCAGGAGTGCGTGAGCGGACAGCCGCTGATGGATGGCCTATGCAAAGAGCAGAGCGGACCAGGCAGGAGCCAGGCATAGCCCCACGGGGAGGGAGGGAGCCAAGGAGGGAGTTGTGAAGGGAAGGGAAGAGGCACAGAAGGGTGGGGGGGGGGGGGGGCGGCACTGTGCTTCCGAGGGCCAGCAGGCCATTGGGCTTCTAGATATTTCCCCTGCCCACCCAATGCCTGGCTCGCGTGAGAGCGGCGACGTGGGCAATCCCACGCCTGGTTTGCCGTCGCTCCCCCGGGGGGCCCCCCCCCCCCCCCCCCCCCCCAAACCCACCTCCTCCGTCCCCCAGTCGCTCTGCCTTGCCGCAGGCCTCCCTCCTCGCTCCGTCTGTGCTATCGCTGCCTCGCAGCTGTCTCTCCCTATGCTCTTGTATTTGAGGTTGAGTCGGCTTGCTACTGAGCCAGTATGTCTTAGGCGGCAGCTGGTGTGTTTCCGCTGTGGATCCTATCACCTTTGTGCCCCTTCGTTGGCAATTCTCTTCGCTTCGTTCCTCCGTTGGAAATTGTAGAAGCAATTTTGGATACTCAGCTGGAAGGTTCTCTTGGGTTGTTGTTGGTGGTATTCCCGCACGAGTTCTCTCTTTGTATATATTCTCTGAGCACAGCGGGGTTTTCAACACCAAATTCATTAGTATATGTTTCTGGAGAAGGATTACTGAACATTTTAGTCAAGGAAACCTTAATCCAGAGATCGGTTTTTGGAATTCTACCCAGACATTTGTCTTTTTGAGTGAGGTGAAGTTGATCGTTAGAGGGCAGTTGCTCTGCACTCATTGTTGGAACATAAATCTATCAATAGAGTCAGAGGATTTAATTTGGATCGTATTGTCTCTGACGGTGTTATTTTGAAGTGAGAATAGGCATGGAAAGTGTATGTCTGCGACCACAAGCTTTAAGTGATTCAAGCCAATTAGCATCATCACGGTATTTATCTTTAGACACATTTTTTTCACAAGTCTATTCGCCGACCTCAATACATTCAAGAAAAGTACCTTGCTTTAGAAGACTTAGAAGTGGCGTTCCGGCCAGCAGCTTCCGTCATGGACGACACCTTTATCCGATTGTTGCTACTGCAATATCATCGGATTCATCACAAGGCAATGAATTGAAGAAAACTTCCAGGCGGAGAGTGAAGGGGCGTGCCAGAGTGGCATTAGTGGAGGCTGTGGAACCGGATGTGAGTGCTGAGGGGTTGCTACAAGACAGTTTGTCTGCAAGGTTAGAACATGCATATAGAATTCCATCGCTTGAAATTTTGAAAAGTGATTTGGAGGCTAGATTCGATTCGGTTTCTAAGGAAGAGGAACTAGAATCCGACGATGGAAGCATTGCGGATGGCAGTGTAGAGGAGCAATCTACCCCTGAAGCAGATTCAGTGAGAAAATCAGTAAGGAATGGCCGTTCCAAAGTAGGGGTTAATACGGATTCAAACGTTGAAGGTGGTGTTAAAAGCTCTTCAGTTAAATCGCCAAAAGCAGTGAAGAAACGCTCCAGTCGGAGGCAGAATGTTGAAGGAAACCGAATCCTGAAAATAACTAAGAACTCGGTCACTCGTCAGCCGAGGAAGGTTGCAGTGAGGACTCCAAGTCATCTTACAGAGACTGGCCATCAAGTGGCTGAGGATCAGCAAGTTGCTGCAGATCGCGGGGGAAAGCGTCGGTTGAGTTTGCGGAGCCGGATAGCTATGAAGCAGAACAAGCTGGAAGCTAGCGTTGTCGAGAAGCCAGGTCCAACCGTTGATAGCTGGAACATGGATCCAGAAGATCAGTTGTTGTGGTCACAGGAGGCTGAAGAACTAATCAATAAATATACTACATCAATGGACCTTGCTGCACCCTTGTGGGATAAGTTAGACCGGGGCCTGCTGACCGCCGTAGAGGAGAATCGTCTTGCAGTGTTCATGAAGCCTATGAAGGTTAGCATCTTCTGTCATTCATTACCCCCGCATGTCTGCATGGTTCAATTCGTTTTTGGATACACATTAGCTTAATCGATCATGTTTCTGTCTCGAAATTGTAGAAATTGGAGAAATTGCAAAAGGTTTTGATGAAGCAACTGGGGAGGGATCCGACTGATGAGGAGTGGGCTGCTGCTGCGGGAGTGGATTTGTTAATAATGCGTCGTCGACTTGCATTAGGCCGGGCAGCTCGGACTAAGCTTATTCAGGTCATAGGCAATACTCAGGCAATAGTCAATGTACAGCGCGTACTAAATGTCTATAAAATGCAAAGAGCAGAATTGATGTAGGTACTGTTGCACATTGTTCGTCTGGCATTATGTAGTTTCGTTGACCTTTGTCACTTTGTTTATACGATATGTCTGCCTCATCCACGACTCTCGTCGATATGAACGTTAGATTTCGAATTAATTCTTCTTTTTTATCATTTGCTTGTGCAGAGAAATTTGCGACTAGTGTTGTCGCAAGCGTACAAGTATCACAAGGACAGCATGAGCCTGTCTATTCAAGATTTATGTCAGGAAGGGGTGATAGGTCTTATGCAAGCTGTAGATAAGTTTGACCCTGGAAAAGGATATCGCTTCTCCACATATGGTATTTACTGGATTAGGAACTCAATCTTGCGGGCGCAGACCAAATCTGGTCACATGCTTCGTTCTCCTCACAATGTATCCACGGTTAGTCCCATCTACACCCTGGGATCATACACAAGTAGTTTATCATATCTACAAGTTCATGAACTTTGCATTGTAACGTTACCATTGCGTGTAGGATGGTGAAATTGATATGCACTTATATTGCACATTTGCCATGCGTGGTGTGTCGTAATTTTACAGACCTACGCGCTATGTTCTATTAACCGACTTAACACTGTCTGTCTTGCAGCATAGAGTGAATATCCAACGCGCCAAAGTTGAGCTTTTTTCCGAGCTGGGAAGGCAACCAACTAATGACGAGATCAGGAAACATCTGGGTATTACGGCGGATCGATTCAGAGACATTTTAAGGACCAACATGCGTACCTCATCATTGCATGAACATGACAGAATCACTGGTCGAGAAAAAGTGGAAAACCTAGTCAGCGAGGAAGATGCTCTAGATACGCTTGCTGGTGGTACTTCGATGGTTCAATATGGATTAGATGATGTGGTAAGTGATCTCTCTCATCTATAATATACGCTTTGAGTTTCTTTGTGGCGAAAGGAATACTTCTACGTTTGTGCACTTCTGAACTTGGAATGCACGAACAGTGATACAAGTTCATGACAGTATGTTGAGTGAAATGAGCAGATTTCTACAATTTTAGTGCTTCCCTGTCCTCTAGCTTCACTGACTTAAATGTTTTACAACAGTTGGATTCCTTGAGACCAAAAGAGAATCTGGTATTGAGGCAAAGATTTGGACTGGACGGCAAGGGACAGCGATCTCTCTCGGAAGTAGGGCTTATCTTGAATCTTTCCAGAGAAATGGTTCGTCGATATGAACTTCGAGGCATTTTGAAACTTCAGCACCCGACCAGAGTCGAGTATCTCCGAAATTACCTGAATTAATTCAATAGTGATAATTGAGGATGTACTCTGAATGAGTAGCGTGTGTGTGTAGTGTAAATCATGACAGGATGCTTAGCTCTTTGCAGAATTAGTGATACATTTACATGTACCATATACACTGTAGACAACATTTCATTCATGGGCTGTATTTTCCCAGTGTATACTAGTAAAATAGATTAAACATTAGTTTTCGCGTATGCGTATGTGAATTGCTTCCTCTTCGGGTTAGATGAAGCAATTCACTAATACTTGATGAATTGGTTGATTGAAATCTGAAGTGGAAGAGTTTTGTGTGCGATTCCGTATATGTTGCACGTCAAGCAGAAAGGTTGCGAACAATAGAATACTAGTCTGTGTACATCGATTGTTAAGCTGTGTAAAGTGGACAGTAATCAGACTATGATGTGCATGTTTTTGAATGTGATTGTTAGTGTTCGAAGTCTAATTCCCTTATTTTATTAAAACCGTACTTGAACAATTTGATAAGACGATAGAAATGTAATTAGAAGTTAGGAAACTGAAAATTAACAACAAAACTTATCTGACCTGCTGGCTCATTTAGATATTATAGTATAGCGACGTCAGCAACACTAAATAGCATTTGAACACTCACATTCACATAGGTCTTAGTACTACATAACTTAGAACTCATTTAATGTGGAAATGTATGTATGTGAACATTACAAACATATGATTTATAAAAGGAAAAATATCATACATACCCCTGAAATTTGCCAAAGCATCAAGAATACCCATGTATTCTTGGTAATATCAAATCTACCCCTCCCTTTTGTGATAATTACAAATTTGCCCTTCAACGTGATGAGCTATCTATTTGAGCTATTTATCTAGATTGAACTGGGGCCCAAAGCACGTGCCGCGCAGATTTGAGCCCCACATCTTTTCCTCACACATCGGGCACCTCACGAAATGTACGCAGCCGCGGTGTATCATACCCTGCAGCATTCGGTCTACCGTGGTGTGCCATCAACACATCATTTGCTCTTCGTCTGTGTGCGATGGCCTCCATCGTAGCTGCATCCACTGTTGTGGCCCCTGCTGCCTTCGCTGCGGCTTCATCCGCAGTGTCGACCTCCGAGGCCACCTCCGTGAAATCTTTCTTTGGCCTTAAGAGCGTATACATGAGCGTATACACCGCTCCTCGCTATTGCAACACTCTGCAACTTCCGGCGGAGGAAGTGGGACCGCAGTGACTACATTCGCTATCAACAACGTAAGAATCGAACCCCATGTCACAACCCCGAAATTCCTCGCCAACATAAGTCCACCCATCTCAAAACCACTATGCGCATAAACTTCCCTCATGTCATTAACTCCTCTAGCCAGCACAGTCAATCATGTACATGTCCAAGTACACCATCCACGAACCATCTCATCACCACTGCGCTTAATTCAAAGTCTACAGCAATGCAGCCGGATGAGAAAGAGCTGGTGCTTCTGGCATGTGTTATAGGTGGCTGTTCGATGTGTGCAATGGAAAAATGTAATATGAGAAACTGTCTTATTCTTTGTTGAATTTGGGTTGTCTCTGTTCATAGGAATTATACGGAAAACACGAAGAGTTTTGGAGTGCCTCCACCGATTCTGCATCGCTTCTAAGAGACACATGTGTCTGCACTGAGGGAACCATAGAAAATGCAATTGATGACTGCATCCCATTTGATGACATTTGCCTCAACAAACTCGGAAGTAGAGTGCGTCTGAACAAGTCAGTATTGAACCAATTGAAGGATGGTTCACAACAAGCACACAACATGAACCTAGAGTATTAGCCAGCTCAGTCACATACCGTCAAGTTCGTTAATGCTCTTGAGAATGAACAAAAACGTCCTGCCTCCACTGCTGCATCCCTCAGAGAACGGAATAATACTCTGGTCGTGAAATCTTAACCCGCAAAGTGACTTCAGCACGTCCCTCAAACTTGTGGCTGTGCAGCTCGTCGCATTCGTCGTTCAAGACGAGCCAAATTGAGGCGGCGAAACTCACAGACCTCGCCTTGGTGCCAAGCACGGACCACAACAACTACACGTAGTGTATCCTACGATCATCGGAGGGCTGGTGTAGTAATTCTGCTCTTCACGCGTAGGCACTGTTTTTGGATCCTGGGACTTGTGCCCGACATGCATTACTGGCTGAGGAACTATGATGATTGATTGCACTCGAATAGATCGTTTGTGGAGCACATATTCGAGTTTGTGGATTTGATGGAAATTGTGTCGTAGTATAGATCAACCTTATTGTTTTACAGTATCGTATTCACAAACTTTGCAAATTAACAGCTATTGTTGTTCGTTGAAAGATAGCATTGTACTTGGTAATGAAGTTGTTGAAATGTAAATACTCGTAGGAACAAGGAATGTCCTACCTGCCGCATACATTGTGCAAGCCGGCGATCCTTGAGGGAAGATCCCAATTTCGCTGCTCTCGTTGCCGCAATCTATCCCCCTAAAAACACATGCCGCTGCCCAAGCTCTGTTGCGCCTCGTATGAGAAGCAATTCGACCCTGGTTTGTGATCGTGTGAGTTTTATCTTGTTTTTCATGCATGACGAAGGTGGCCTCGGAGGTCGACACTGCGGATGAAGCCGCAGCGAAGGCAGCAGGGGCCACAACAGTGGATGCAGCTACGATGGAGGCCATCGCACACAGACGAAGAGCAAATGATGTGTTGATGGCACACCACGGTAGACCGAATGCTGCAGGGTATGATACACCGCGGCTGCGTACATTTCGTGAGGTGCCCGATGTGTGAGGAAAAGATGTGGGGCTCAAATCTGCGCGGCACGTGCTTTGGGCCCCAGTTCAATCTAGATAAATAGCTCAAATAGATAGCTCATCACGTTGAAGGGCAAATTTGTAATTATCACAAAAGGGAGGGGTAGATTTGATATTACCAAGAATACATGGGTATTCTTGATGCTTTGGCAAATTTCAGGGGTATGTATGATATTTTTCCTTTAATAAACACCATTTTTTTACTCAGTAATAATATCATAATTAAAATTCTACTTCTTAGAAAATATATTATAACCAAGGCATAGAAGACAATATTTAAGTTCTAAAATTAACATGAATAAGTTAGTAGTGAAAAAGAAAAAAAAAGTGATGGCATTAGCAATACTCTTAAAAAATACATGACAAGTTGTGGTGACTAATTTGTTATTATTTGATCTAATACATTAAAAGATTCGTAAGATTTTTTTATAAAAAATATTCAACTTAATTGTGTCAAGAAAAAACATATATTATTTTTTAAAATTAATTCTCTAACTTATTTTGATATTAGAAAAATTAAATGAAAAAAAAATTGTAATAAATTTCTACAGAAACAAAAGCTTGTATTTGTTACCAAACAAATAGTGGTACTAATAATGCATGAAAGTAACTTCAAATTATAACTATTTTTAATACAAAATGAGCATAATATATTAAAAAAATTTATGCATATATTGTAACTAAGAACAATGTATTAACTTAACAAATAGTAAAAGTATATGTACAAGAAAGAGATTATATTTGAAAGAATATAAAAAGCATACTAATTTTAAATCACATGTAATGTAATTAACATGCCTTCTTATTTCTTTTAATTATATCATATCAAGTATTATTTTCCTTATTATTATTACTCTTTTTTATTGTTCATATTTATTATTAAATGATCTATTGAACTTGGTTATGAAGTACCAAGTATGAGAAGAAATACCCCTGAATTTAATTTTGATTGGGTTATTTCAAACGACAGAAGAAAATATTCTTACAAAAACAAATTAAATATTGAAAATGAGCCAATCCTTATTGTTAAAAATTCGTAATTGGATGTCAGAAACAATGGTCTGTTTGAGCTAGAGTTCATACCCTAATGCAAAACTCTGCAAAGGACTCTAGATTCAGTACACTCCACGTCCGGTATGACCTCTACAGCAATATTAATGTTCTGTCAACTTGCAAAGTGACATTACGTATATTGCTTCCAATGAGATGAGCACCCTAAAGTTTTCATAATATTGGAACACATCACAGATATGTCCTGTGCTGAACAGTGTCATCAATTTAGCGGGGTCCCTAATGAGAGCCATAAATCGGTTATTCACAATGCTAAGTTTGTACACTTGAGAAACCTTTCACTGATTGCTGTAGAGCTGAGGGGTTTGAATGATTGGAACACAACGGCTCTTCTTGTATGTGTTTCTGAAGACTGGTTCGGCCTTGCAAGCCATAGATAAATCAGGAAGATGTGCGATGCTATCCTCCAAGCAAAAGTATAGTGGATTCAACACGATCAAGAAAATTCACAACCTTGACAGCCTAGCGAGGCGCATGTGATTTCAACGGAGTATCATCATCTTCCTCAAGATAGGTGCAATCAGCCACCGTATCAATATTGCTGGATTGTTGCCGCAGTACGTACTCTCTGATTTCTATCTTTAACGACGAATCACAAACTAACTGCTCCTCAACCAAGATACCAGGGCAACCTGCATTAACAGTCAGTTGTAGATCATTCCTCTAAAAATGCGTCAAGTAAAGAAAAAAGTAAAATAATGAAATTTACTTAATCATACTTAAATAAACATGCACGTACATCAACAGTCGAACTGGTAATAATTGCAACCTGTTACATAAAAAATGTGGCCAAAAGCAATCAAATGCGCACAACATAGAAGCAACTTTTCGTGCTCAGAAATGAAGAGACCAGCTACTGGAAGTACTGCCAGAATGGAAGTACAGCTAAGAAAGACCGCGAAAAGGCCCATACCATGAAATTCTATCATGTCTGATGTCTCCATGTGTGTAAAATCCTAAAATAAAACTTACCAGCTGCAGCGCATTTGCAGGGGTTTGAGTTTTTGTGCCTCCTATTGCGCATTGCATGGCTCCTTACGTAGTTTAAAACAGCGTCACGATCATATATGTGTCTGCACCGTTGACTGCGATAAACACAATCAAGTACAACAGTCAATTAATGATTATCAGTACCCTTCAATCCCAAAAAACCATAGTCAATTCTTGCATGAAAAAATGATAATCCAACTCCTGTAAGTTTAAACGCTTGACAACACAAACTGTACAAGCAAGTAACAACCAGACGATCTCTTCTCACCTGCGAACAGGGTCCTCAAGTTGCTCCACAGGTTTTCCACTTAATGGGCACGACGTATTTGGAAGAGCTTGAGAGCCAGCCATAACAACAATTTCTTCTTGTTCCTGCCCGGGCATTGGCTCTCCTGCATGATGTACTTTCTGATGCAAAATTCATAGACAGAATAATGAATTATCACAATAATCATCTTCAAACAAAAGCGTGAGTCATGGAGCAGACATTAAGAGCTCGAAACAAAAGAAGCCAAGTAAGAACGCATGTTTTCACTAAAACTAGACACAGCCAACCTCTTACAAATGTGTAATAGAGGAGGTTCTAAAAAACTGATATCAATACAGCTTCAGTCAATTATGCAAAATTATCAGCCTAAAATTTAGTCAAGGATTGCAAGCTTCATATCTATGACAGGATGAGTCTCCACTATGCACAGATGCACTGTTGCCAGCATCCCCAATAGTTCACATAGTTTCAAAAATTCATGAATAACACTGTAAATTGATATAGCCGCCCCCTCCGTCATCCTTCCAAAGTCTTACCATATCTACCTAAAGATTTATCTCTGGCATTAGCCCTAATTTCGTAATAATATCAGGACCGTGACCTAAATTGAGAATGCAAGGACATACCCAGACGGCTTCTCTAAACTGCTTGATAAATGGATGTTTCTCTGAGTCGAAAGGAGATTCCTCATCTAGTTCCTTCACATAATTCTTCAGCAGTTTCTTAAAGTCCGTCACCTTTCCACAAAAACAAACAAAGTTGATCATGTCAGATCACACAGTAGTCTTCGAAACAATGCTATCTAATCCGGTCCTAAAAATTACAGCTCAAACACCGCTAATTCACTTTTGCAACCGAAGAGGCGAGAGGGAAAAAGATACCTCAATGGACGGTGCATATGTCATACTTAACGTTTCTAGGGCTTTGCTGTGATTGCGGAGTTTATTCGAAATCGTGATGATATCCAACGTAGCTTCCTCCAACTCTTTGACCTTTTCCCCTCAGACCATGCACACGGATCAGCGACGAAAATGTGGGAATTAAACACAAAAAGTTGCATAGATTCTCTGTAGTTCACACAAGTGTGTAAAGAACAAGGAGGAAAGGAGAGTACGGAAGGGGCGTGATGGTCCTTCTCGAGGTCTTCAGCGACGAGCTTGGCGTACAAAATAGTGCCATCAAAGTCTTGGAGCAAGTCGTTGGTCTTGGAAGCCAGAGACCGAATGACAGAGCGCACACGGTCGACGGCAGGGGTGGCCATAACCACAAGTTGAGCATCCGCGAAGAGAAGAAACGCAAGGACGACGACGCCAACAAGAGCACGTTGCCCCGAAAGACAGAGCGAGGGAGCGAGGGAGCGAGAGCAGCACGCACACACATACATACCAGGGTGGGTGATCCTGCAGATCTATACCCAAATCACTCCTTCATATCCGGCTCTGTCCACGATGCATACCAGCTCGCCAGGCCGGTCTTGTGTCTGCGCCTCCAGCATCCAACAACTGCTGGATTTCAGGGCTGAGCGGTGACTCAGTTTCAGTTTCCCGGCGCAGGCAGGCAGACCTTGACCCCCTCCATTTCGGGTTCCGAGTTCTTCAGCATGCTGCAATTGGTGCTGTTCATCGTGTCCGAATGTCTTGGGCCCCGTCCTTGTGTCCACGATCCTCGCATCCTCCGTGACTAGAACACAATCTGGGTCGCTCGTTTTGTTCCTCGCGGGTTTTTTGGTTTGAACTGGAGGTTTTTGGTTTGCCTTTATGGGGATGATTTCCTCGCTGTCGTTGGTTTAGGAAGGAGGAGACGAGAAGTTTTTGTTTTTGGAGTAAGTTAAGCAGCTAAGAGCAGCCTTTTGAGAATGCGATCATTCAATTGTTAGCCATGTCGGACCTTCCTTCTCCTCCTCCTTTCCTCGTGACCTCCGTCTACTTCACCGACTCATCGCGCCCCCTTTACCTGTCGCCATGCGCACCGAGTGGTCATGAAAGCAGTTCCAAAGAGAGCTCCAAGTCAGATGACGAAGGTGAGCTTTCCAGTGTGCTTACATTATTCTTGCAGCGCTCAATGGTTAAACAAGGTTGGCTTCAACCCGTCATTACCCGTTAATTGTGTTAAACTGTTCCGGTTCAGAGGTGGAGTTTGTTTCTGCAGATGCTGACAAGGAGTTGATTAGGTTGATGGCCACTCTAGGTCTCCCCACTACGTTTGGTACGAGCTTGGAGGTAATCCTATGTTATAACTTTGATTTGTTGCAAAATATTGTTAATTTTAAAATCAATGTGTGTTTTTAGTTTCTTTTGGTTCCTTCTGCAAGCTTTTGTAGGCAAAATTTTCAAATCTTCCCATGGTATCAATTGTCCAAATTTATTTACCCGATTTTCACTACATCTTAAACGGTCCGAAACATATGAGCATTGTGTCGAGTGTGCACTTTTGCAATAGAGCGGGTACGCTAGGCTTTTGTGCCATTTTTGTTTTTAGGGTAGATTATTACAGATGTATAGTTCGTATGTTGTTCTGGTAAAGAGTGCTCTGCACGGTGCATCGGGGCGTTAGAATCGGCTGATTAATCGGCACTTGCGAAAAAAAGTTCTTGCTTGGGGTGTCATCAATAAATTGGTTGCCTGTCTTTTCCGAAGAGCTAGGTTTCGTGGAAGCACGCTTCTTATTCCTTACAGAAATGCGCAATGTTGTGCTGGATGTGCAGGTGAAACCCGTAAAGAATAGGAGAAAATCTAAGGCTGCTACCTCACGGGTTGTAGGCACTCATTACGATTCTCAAGCATCGCAGGCAGAGGACCCCAGAGAGACTGTGGATGTGGGTCATCAAATTTTTAAGTCAGGACCTCAATTTAATCTTAAAACTCATGTTAAAACCGCTGCAGAGGATAGCTCTTCCTGCAACGTCGACGATTTGCACCTCTCTGAGTTCAATGACATTAGTAATGTGGACAACCAGCACCGGAGGACTTTCAGCAAGTCGTTTTGGGAACCCTGTTGGGATGCAGAATATCAAAGGTACTATTATTGTAATACTCATACATGGGAGACCACATGGGAGGTTCCTGAAGGTGTCGAGGACTACAATGCAAATGTACTTGTAGAAAGTAATGAGAATATTGATGACACAGTAGTACTGGTCGACCAAGTGCATCCTTACGAGAGTAATTCTCTCTCTGTTTTAGGTGAAACCCCGAACTCATTGCGAAAAGGCGCTCTTTCGAAGCAACAGGAATATGTCGGCTCGTGTGCAAATGACACGAATGACACAAGCGTTTGTTTCACTTCTCAAGGAAGAGATTTAGATCAGAATCTCGAAGGGAATTCTCAGGGGATAGAGCGAAGATTAGGAGCCTCAGGTGCTCCATTGTCGACAGGAGTGGTTGTACCTTCGAAAGCTTCAAGCTATTCTGAATTAGAACCTGTGGATAGCCCTGAAGGAAAAGTTACCATAGTAGAGCAATCTTCAGTTGCGAGGACAATCGTTAGTGAAGAGAGAATGCTGGATCAGGATTTCGAAAGGAAGTGCATCTCTACACAGGATATTGGGTTCATGGAAAGCACGAAGGTTGATCTGAGTGATCCTATTGAAATTAGAACCAAAATCAGGTATGTAGTTCTTACTTCTTCATGGTATTTCTCCATGGGGACTTTAGCCCTTTCGATCTGTTTCTGTATATAGCAGGGTTATCTCATTGGATATGAAAACATGCTGGATGTACTGTAGGCTTCAAGCTGAGGGTCGAATTATATTACTTAGAAATAAAAGAAATATATTGTCTCTAGCAAAGTCTCTGTCATTGTGGTAATGAGAATCTTCATTGCCCACAGAATTGCATGGATAAGATTTAGAAATTTTGAGGTATGCAGGGAGAGCTACTAGCATTGAAGGTGTATGCAACATTGCTTATAGACAATGTTGTTGTCAAATTCAGCGTGTGAAATTTGTGTTAACAGCACTTCGACGTTAGTGGAAACGTGTGAATGGTCTCACTGAAGTCGACTGTATTGACCTACGTTGGCAGCTTGTCACAAAGAACGCACATTCGGTTTGCAGACAGCGATGACGATGATGAAAACAGAGAAGTGGCACTATTTTCATCAATGGAGAATACGGAGTCTAAAGATGCCTTGAACGATGTAAATAATGGTATCTTCCCTGTGGATTATCCGCAATTAGACTTCGAAGCTAAGAATGAGACAGTTTATGAATCTGTTGACGGTGAAAACATGATCAAAACTTTTGAGAAGCGCAAGAGAAGACGAAATACTACACGCATGTTAGAGAAAATGCCCACAGAAGTTTGTATGTTCCTCTCCTTATCTCGTTTGTATATTTATCGTACTTGTTTCAACGGAGCATTGTTTTTACAAACAGTTATTTTTCGTTTACAGAATCTGGTTACTGGAGTTTGTGGTCCCATCCGCAAATCTGCAGCTTCTTTGCAGTTCGGGTACATTCTGATTGCACTTACAATATGACGCAGGGTCTGGATTAGCTGAAAATTTAAACTCTGATTCACTGGAAGAAATGAGCGAACGTACCGCAAAGTACTGGTATCAACGCTACCGATTATTTTCGCGATATGATGAAGGGATTAAGATGGATGAAGAGGGATGGTTTTCAGTGACTCCAGAATGCATTGCTCAACACCAAGCGTCACGAATGTTTTCAGGGGGACTTATCGTTGATGCTTTCACTGGCGTGGGGGGTAATGCCATTCAGTTTGCTTTGCGGTTAGTTAGACTACCCTCAGTCTTTCGGCTATTTTCTGGATGTCCATATGTTGTTTCGAGTTATGATAATTTTAAGTTGCGACTCTTTGCTTCGGTCGTCGGTCTTTTGAATATTCACTGAATATTTACTGGAGCATGTCGTTGCAGGGGCGATCATGTTATAGCCATAGATATAGATCCTCTTAAAATCGAGTATGCTCGACACAATGCTGCCATCTATGGAGTAGTGGATCACATTGAGTTTATAGTTGGTGATTTCTTTAAAATTGCGCCTAACTTGAAGGTATGTTGTGCATAGTGCTTACCATTGGTATTACGAATAGTGGACTGTCTTTCGAATACATTCCCTAGTGGAGGCAGCATTACCAAAACTGATGTTGTGTTGTAACTCTCAGTTTCATTCTGCTGTTATTATTTTGGCTGCTGATAATCGCACTGTAGTTTGTGCGACGCAACCTCTTCAAACTAGTAACTGTATCAAGATTTCTCGCAGGCAGATTCGATCTTCCTTTCTCCTCCGTGGGGTGGGCCTAGCTACAGTGACGTGGAAAAATTCGATCTTCACACCATGATTCAGCCGTTGGATGGGTATTTTCTTTATTCCTTTACAATAGTTGAATTCTTCTAGCTCAGGTGCTCTGAATCATCCACGTTTTTTCTTTCGTCCTTATCCATTAGTCTCTATGAATGTCTATAGGTTTTGAGCTTTGTGGGTGTATTTCATTGTTTACCGCTGTCATCTGATTTCATGTTGATATGCTTGATGGTAATATTACCGAAAGAATGTACATCTTTTTCTCCTCTCATCAGCTGTGTGTTGTAGAGAGGCGAATATCGTATTGCGTATCTAAGATTGTCGTGTTTTTGTCAAGCTTTAAGCTTTTTCAAGTAGCTCAAGCAGTTGCCCCCAACATGGCTCTTTTCCTTCCTCGCAATGTGGACCTAGATCAGCTGGCGGAACTGTCATGGCTTGCAAGTCCTCCACTTCCGTGCGAGGTAATCTGTTCACTTGAGTAGTTGAATTACAAGAATTACTAGCATCTGTTATTGCGGAACAGTTAGTTTGAACTCGTACCATCCATCGACGTCCTGGTTGAGTTTGGATGACGTTATAAGACAGTGTATATAAATTTTCGGTTCCTTTGGTCAAGTGGTGCTATAACCTAAGTACATTTGTATGTCTGTAGAAGGGAGTTGTGTGCTTGGATGTTGTAGTTGTAATGCACCGGTTCTTTGTCCTTATTCATGTGCTACTTGCTCATGTGTCATTCTTACGCCTTCTCACATGTCTCAGGTGGAAAGGAATTTTATTCACGAAAAATTAAAGGCCATCACTGCATATTATGGTGATGTGGCTTGTACAGAAGTTTCTGCTTCGCAAGTTGCTGCATCACATGAAGCAACTGTTTAGAGCAATGTCGTTTTTTCGGGAAAATTTTGATCACAGTAAACAAGATCAGCGTCGCAGATGTAGAGATTTTCGATGCGGAAAGCAACCGTAAATGACTTTCGATATCGCACCTCAATAGGAACATGTATGCTACCATGGTTTACGCTCTAGTATGTCTTGCTTCTTATTATCAAAAAATTTAAGGATGCCATGTAATGTATTGGCTGGTTTCTCATTTGAATGCCTCTTGAAGACTTCAAAGAAGTGAATTTTAGATGGTTTAAGTCCGCTGGTTGTGAGTGGTAATTTTTGTGTGGTTTCTTGACTTTCAACTTCGCCACATAGAGAATGGTTGAAATCGTTGTCTTCTTTTACATGTTGGAGATCTATGGCACTGCAAGTCCCGAACCAGGCATTAGAACCTGAGCATGCTCGTTCTTTGATTTTCGAGTGGATGTTCAAATGTGTGCTACGAAATGATTGTAAAGGACTTCATTGAAGAAAATATGTATCCACCTCATAAAATAACTGAATGTTAAACTTAAATGTCTGATGGTAGATAATGAATAGTGATCCAAATTTAGCAATTAACTGCAAAACTTGTACACAATTCTTTAAATTATCTGATCTTAGATGTCGTTATGAGCATAACAAATTTTGACAAGTGTAGAATTATTTTGTAGGTTGTGAACAGTAGTGATTAGTATTTTGTCTCTGTACAATTATGTAACACAAATGGATCCAAAATAACATCTTTTAACAATTCAAAAGAGCTAAAGAATAATGTGCCAAAGTCTTTTGATTAAGACTGCTTTCAACAAGTCAAATTCTTTCTTTTCTGCATTGTTTCTAGTATTTTATTGACATCACTCAAAAACATTTCTAAAGAGTCCTATTTTTAATAATGTCGTTTTATCTCATTATCAATAGCAGAATAACAATATATACTTAATAATTTTGTTGTATTTATGAATGTGATAAAAGATATATTCATTGTTATATTCATTTGATTAAGAAGAAAAATATATATATATATATATATATATATTAATTTTAATATATTAAATCTAAATCCTATCCATATAATTGTATCTTATTAGTTCATATCAATTATTAACATATTTATATATATATATATATATATATATATATATATATATGATTGAATTTGATACAACTTGAAAGATAATGCAAAACATGTAATATTAAAAGTAAAATTAAATTTTGCTTTAATAGTTGAGATTCTTGCTAAAGCAATTGCTTTAAAAAAAAAACCATTTAATTTTGAATGACCAAAAAAATAATTAGATAAAAAAACAAATATATATTGTCAAAACAAAATCTATTAATTATCAACTATTTGCATTGAAATTTGCTCAAGAAACTAGACTATTGTTAATAAGGCTAGAAGATAAAAAATTATTTTCAACATTATTAGATTTCTCATATATTTAATTGACTAAAGTCTTTTCTTACAAAAATTTTGGTAAAACTGATACTTGTTGGCAGTTCTTTTAACTTTGAAGTATTAAAATAAAAAATTGTCTTTATTCATTAGAAAAGAGTATTTAGACATGTTACACAAACAAATGATGCATTTGCAATTTTAGAATTTAAATGTCATTATTCACAAAATACATATTATTTTAGGATTTAAACCATTCATATTAACAATTTTAAGATGTATTTGAAAGTTAAAGTATGCACATATTACTTAAATAAAGATTGTACATATTTTTTTTATTATGTAAGTATTTTTATTTTTTATACAAAAATTATTAAGATATATTTTAAAATAATATACAAATATTCTAATTAGATATTTTTTATAATTGATAAAAATGATAAAAATATAATAGCTAATATATTCAAATTAAAATTTATATTTAAAAATATATATATTTAAAAAATAATTAAAAGGTTTAATATTAGACTATAAATTTTAAATTTTTATTTAATAATATATTTTAGAATATATATATATATAGCATTTAATGAATGTGATTATTTACAAGAATTTAGATAATTTTAAAATATTAAAGTTACTATATATTTAAAAATATGTAATGTATACAACATGTTTTTATGTATTATAAAACTTAGACATGCAAAAATATGCACTCAAATTGAATAATGTGTGCTTCATGTACTTTAAATAGAATTATAAAATCTTATCAATTTAAATAACAAACTTATAATGTATTATTTCAATTTACTCATTACTTGTAAAAGCCCTTTTTTGATAAAAATTGCACATATTAACCATCTAAAAATCTTATAAATATATCATTCAACTTCAATTCATTTTATTATCAATATCCATCTAAAAAGATTATATGTAAAAAAACCCTTTAAAGACTATAAGATATGTGATCTATGCATTTAAGTTATAAGATATTTTCATACTAGCTTCTAGAAGATAAAAAAAATATTTGGAAGGATTATTTATATCTACATATCGTATCTAAAAGAATCCATAGAGCTTCATATATAAATGATACTTCTATTATCTATTTTCAAAAAGATATTAGTATACAAGATATTTCTATTTAATTCTACTTACTTCTATTTACTACTATTTGATTAAGTAGTATATGCATTTATTATATTTATTCCAATTATTAAAAAAATAAATTAAAATCATTTAAAATAAAAATTATTTATATATTTTAATTTAATATATTTATTTATATTTATTCAAATAATATATATAAAATTATATATATTAAGTAAAAATAATAATCATAATACATAGAATTATGAAGATATAAATAATTTTTGTGTTTATTTAAGTTTCTAAATTTTTGTTTCTTCATTAAGTTCTTTAAAAATCATTATAATTCTAATACATTTTTTTCAATCAAATGATTTTAAAAATATCTTGGTCCAAGTTTCTCTCCATAAGTATAAAAGATAGCTCCATCTTTTGTATATAAGACTCTCATTTGCTCAAAACTTTCATCTGTTAGGATTTAGTAATTTTATTTTTTGAGATTTGTAAGATGGATTTTGAAGCAAAGGGCTCAATTTCCAAAGTTAATGGTTGACAAAGTTAGACTACTTGAGTTTTGTCTTCATGGCTTATATCAATTAAGAACATTCTTCTATTAAGTCACATTTTCAAAAGAATAAATCTTCAATCTATTCTAATGTTTCAACTCTCTAAAAGAAAGTAGTATCCTAAGCATTGTAATATACCAAGCATAATTATTCTTTTTGACAAAATCTTAGAATGAGGGTAGAGCAATGTTTGTCAATACAATGCAACAAAAGCTTTATGTCATGAAAATATGTTCTTGTACTTTTTGCAATCCTAAAGATGAGATTTTTGCATGATTTTGGTCTTTTGAATATATAGCTAGAAATAAATGTATTTGAAGTAAAAATAATATAGTAACCTTTATGACGTTGTAAAATTTGGTAGTTTGGATTTATTAATCTATAATGATGATTGTTGTTTTTCTTAGTTTGAGGGTCATGCTTATGCTCTCTGAAGAAAAAAATAGTATCGATGCTACTATTGACAGTATGAGATAGATTCTAGTATATGGTTGTTTTTTTATCAATAGATGTAGAGCTTTTAGGATTTTTATAGCTGTGTTTACTAAGAGGTATTATAGCTTAGAACAATACCACATACCAAAGCTTTTGATATTGTCACTTGCCATTGAATGCTTCTTTCTTTATCTTCGACCTTGATTGGGATCTTAGGCCTATTCTCAATGATTTAGTTATATTCACTCTTATTGCCATGACTATATTCATCTTTCAATAAAATCGCCTTGATGCACCTCCATATCTATTGGTTTTTTAGTAAAATGGCCTTTATGAAATTTTTAGTCTTAAATTGTAATAAAGGTTGTTATATTATTTTTATTCTAAATTTAATTTTGACAAGGAAGTCTACTCATCAAATTTAAATATAGTTATATTATTTTTTTGAATGAAATTTTTTATAATAGAGGTTTTTGTAATCGTAAGTTATATTACTGCTGAATATAAAGGAGTATTAACAAGATATATCTCATCATGACTCTTGTTATGTAAAGGTCAATTTTTTGTGGATGACATGTTGGTATTGATTTGATAAATTTTTGAAATCTCGACATCATAATAAAATATTAAATTTTATACAACATAGATTTTGCTTTCTATAATTTTTGAAGCATAATAGTTTAATATTAAGCTTTGAAGATTGGAATAGAAGAACCATCTTCTAAAAATTCCATATAATTAATTTAATTAACAAGTGAGTAATTTATTGCCAAATAGAACATGAATAAAAATGGAAGGAAGTAAGTTCAAGTCAACTAACCAAGAATATGAAGATGATAAATCATTGAATCATGAGGTGATTAAAAGATAATTGTGTGTATCTATTGATGATTAAGCTTAGTTATAATTTGAGAAAACAATTCTTAGGAAGGAAAAAAAAGATGAAGCCATGAAGTTATCAAATCAAATAGTAGATCTCAAAGAACATTTCAATAAGCTTGAAAAAAAACATACTAATATTTTTAAAAAGTCTAAAAATATAGAATCAATCTTAAAAATTGTGTATGATAAAAAAATCTAACTAAAAAACTATATAGATTTTACTTTAAAACGTAGGCAAAAAAGAGAGAAAGATCTTATTAATATGCTAGAACATTGTTAAGAATATATCCATGATGTGGAGGTTGAACAACACAACTAGTTATCTATTATTGATATATCAAATGTTTGAATTTATTAATTAAAATATAAAACTTTTATATTATTGAATATATTTTAGAGCAAAAGAAGATTATAAAGAATCAAATACTTTTCTTGCCAATTACACTCCAAATATTTATAATTTCCATGTTGCAAGTAGGTTTGAGGTATTTTTGTCATAAACATATATTTATTGTAATTTTTACCTAGGTAATATAAATAGGTAGAAATAAATAAAAGTAGATTAATTTCATAATACCTTCTAGAGAAGCTTCTTAGAAGCTTTATAGATGCTGCTTTGACTTTACATATGTTTATACTTGATTGGTAGGTTAGAAACTTGGTCAATAAGATAACTATGTGCCACACATGTTGGTAGCTTGTGGAACAAGCTAATTATGTGGCGCCCACATAGAAAACTTGCTTTGCAAATTAAGATATGTATTGTGTAAAGTCAATATATTTTTGGAGGTCCTATAGAATGTTGCCACATAGCTCTTAAGTAAATAGTATATAGAGAGGCAAGAGTGAAGCCAATTTGTTATA